CGGTACACTCAAAATTACGTGCGCGCGTTAAACTCAATCGCAGCATCTCTATAGATATAAAACACAAAAACTGTCTGTTGGAGGGTATGTGAGTTATAGAAACGCTCGCCATACAACCGATTGGACTGAAAAGGTTGCTGAGAAAGAGAAATTGCTTATTGCGAGTACATGGGCGTAGTAGCGCAATTCCATGTGTTTGCACACACCGCAGCTAAGGCACGTAAACGCCTTCTCCGGAATGGAAGTAGAGTAAATTTCTGTTTTTCTATGCAGTATTTCAGTTGTCTCACTCTAAAATATGCATTCAGCTCTGATGATATCATAGTACGTAACTCTTGAAAAAACAGCAAAAATACTTGTTTGCAATTTTCGACATTAACTAGTTATGGGAGAAAATTGAGCACAGGGGTGGATATTGTAGATCAAAATTAGCAAATGTATCAGTATCATGACGCATCAAAACGTTGAAAAAAAATTTTCCGGTCTTTATGAACAGTAGAAGTAAGGTAATAAGCCAGGATAAAAAACGTATCTCTCCTGTAAGAGACAACTTACAAACAAAACCAAAACCACACATCAAACACATTAATCTGCAAAAAGTTTGTGCCAGGCGACAATAAGGAAAGCAACTAAAATTACTTCTGTTGCGCAACTGACCCCACTATTGTGAAATAAAGGGCCTAATTTTAGCATGTATTTTCATAAACAACTTCCAACCTTAGCGGTATCGCCATCGCCTATGCCACATATAAGCGACGGGAGAATTGTAACTGTTGTTTTGTCGGAAATTCGCAAGCACTATTTCTTAGGCTTAACCCTAACTTCAAAGTCGTTGTTTTACAGAAAAGAAGATACCGTTGTATCTTGCTTTTACAGCACGCACAGCAACAACGTTGAGCACAAGAGCGCCAACATTCAGTCCATTAATCATATACGAACTCCATACTACTTCCAGCGGTATCGCTGTAAAAATAAATCTACAATTTGTTCAAAAACGCAACTGACAAACTTCTTATCGGCGTACAGCAATCGATAATATCATCGTTCATCCCGACAAAAAGAACGGCGACCATAGCAGAAGCGATTACAAGCGGAGGAAGGCACATATATATCATATACGGTGACGTGGCGACAGTATAATGCCTGAAAAAGCACATGCGCATTTGTTTTCGGTACCTTTCACCATATGGATCTTTTTTCGAGTAGTCATAACTGAGTGCTCTACTTGAAAAAAATTTTTCGCAGCTCTTATGAGACCGTCAAATTGCCAAGTGTTACGAAAAACTTACACATTCCATCCAGTCATGTTTCTCAAACCATTTTTGATAAGATATAAGGTCTGGAAGCATTTGAGATGACCCAAACAAAGCGTTTGATGAACAAAACAGCCCAGAACTACGTGTAGGCCGATTCGCAAGACCGAATGCTTTCCACCAGAGTTGAGCAAAAGGTCAGCCACAAGGCCTCTCCCCAGGAGAGCCCCAAACGACCCCCTCTTAACCCTCTCCACCTCCGGAACCTGAGATTATGACATTCTGGAGAAGACGAGTCTGTCCTGCAGAGTTTTCGAATTTTAGGATCGCTTTTCTGTGGTTGCACATCATTACACATACAATTTGAAGGCGGATTTTGATGTAAACCGCCCTATTGAACGACCAGAAATTCCCCACGAGTGGAGAGTTTTGCTCCAAATTTTCATGGTGGCAAGAAAAGGCTATGAGCTCAATACCTATACCAGGCATGGACTGATTTCTGAATTTTGAAGACAAGTTAAGTGGCTCAGGCGCAAGGCTACAAAAGCTCAGGAGCCCTGACCTTTTGAGGGGTTGCGCCCGACCCCATCAACTTTATCTCCGAAGACGCTTTTTTATCCAAGCTTTATGTACTTCGTTAGCACAAACTTCGGACAGTCTACAGTAGGTGTTTGAAGATCCGCCGAGCTGACCGCTCAAGGTGAAAAACGCGATGCTTGGGGTATTGGCAGTACTTCCTAATCCACTATTTGAGAGCGATATGAATTCTAATTTCTAGTATAGACTGATAGGGAACATTACTTTGTTATGAGTATGAAAAAGCTGACTTCTTTCACTTCAAAACCAAGTTAATCATGTTTGAATTTCAGGCTTCTTAGACGAAAAAACGCTAAAAAAGTAATAGTTGGTAGTCTGTAGTGCTAGTGGAGGTGATTTGATATGCTAATTATGGAACTATACTCAATTTACACAGGAAGCCTCTTTGGTGACCTTAGTAGTGTCAGGTAAGGAATAGAGAATAAAATATGGCTAAAACTTCGATGGAGTCAATCAATTGCTGGTCACGACAATCATTCCTTCAATTCTATTGGAGTTGTAATATGCATCGGTCTAAAGCTTTTCTCACCTTACTCGATCGTAGTATTTCCTTATTTTTGAGCGAATTCGATTCTTGATTACGACCCCCCCCCCCCTCAGTCTTACCACCAGCACGACACCCCAGGTTGGGCGCACCTGACCTCACGCTCAACCCTGCTTTCCGCACAGAAACATCGCCTGTGATACACTCTGTGGCATCATTTGCGTAACAAGGCGCTTTTTCCGCGTACATGACTTGTAAAAACAACTAATCAGGGTGGCTGCTGGCGACTGCTGTGCGAAAAGGCCGTCTCCTATGAGTTGTAATCAGGGTTGAGCTTGAGGTCAGGCGCGCCCGACTTGAGGGTTCGAGGGTATTGAGGGTAAGATGAGGGGAAGGAGTCGCAATCAAGAAGAATTTGTTCACAAAATGGAGGGGATGCTTCGATTGAGTGAAATGAAAAAGAGGAGCACTGGACAGTGAATATCATTCCACCGGAGAGGATATCACTGTTGTTAATTGCGTATTGGTTACCACTAACGAAGTTTTTGCCAACAGTATGGTCATTAAAGAGGCTTGCAGTGTGAAGTGGGTAAGATCTCCGTAACTACATGCCAAATGAGCTGAAGGAGCTCTGCAAACCACTATCTATCACATTTTCTACTGTTTTCTAAAGCCTAAGAAGCGTGATTTTCAGACATGATTGGCTTGGTCACAAAGTCAAGAAAAGCTCCACCGATCGCTACAAAGCCGGAACAAGTCCAAATAAGCTCAAACACCTGGTGTAGAATCTTCGAGAATGTCAGCAAACCACAGAAAACTAGGATGGAAAAGATTTTTCGGTGATAGAGTTAACGGATCAGACGCAACCCCTCAAAAGCTCAGGCTGTCTGAGCATTTGTAGCCTTGCGCCTGACTTCCTTAATATGTCTTCAGAATCCAGAAATCACTCCATTCTTAGTATGAATATTGAGCTCATAGTGCCTTCTTGCTGCAGTGGAAATTTGGGGCCAACCACCTTGAAGAAATTATGATCCTTGCAATACACCTATCCAGATCAAAATCAGCCGTCAAATTACGTGTGATTGTAAAGTGCAATCACAGAAAATCGGGCGTAAAGGCTCCAAAAACCCTTCAGAAAAGGATGGTGTTTTCCATAATGTCGCTCTCTGAGGTTTCGGAGGTGAAGAGGAGGAAGAAGAGAATTGTTTGTGGCTTTCAGAAAGGGGGGGGGGGTCGTTTTCGGAAGGGTTGTGCCTGACCTCTTGCCAACTCTGGATTACAACCAGGGTTGAGCAAGAGGTCAGGCACAAGTCTTTCCAAAACGACCCCCCCCCCCAGTGAAAGCCCCTAAACGACCCCTCTGCTTCACCTCCAGGACCTCAGGCTGTGATAATTCGAAGATTTCAGCCGTTTTTGGGAGGTTCTTGTTTTTTGGAGGTCTGTAGGTCGACTTTCTGCGATTGCACAGCACACGCAACTTGACGGCAAGTTTTGGATTTTGGATAGCCCTACTTTTAGAGCTATAATTCCCACAGGGGTGTATTGTTTGGCTCCAAATTTGCAGTATTGCAAGAAGAGGCTTTGAGTTCAATACTCATAGCAGAAATGGAGCGATTTTTAGATTTTGAAAACAAGTTAATCGGGTCAGGCGCAACCCCTCAAAAGCTCAGGCGGCCTGACCTTTTATGGGGTTGCGCCTGACCCGATTAACTTTATCATTAAAGAGGCTTTTTTATTCAAGTTTTATGTGAATCGCTAGCACAACCCTCGAAGATTCCACAGTAAGTGTTTGGACTTGATTCGACTTGTTTCGGCCTTGTGGTAATCCGTGGAGTTGAAGCAGTCATGGAGAAAAACGCGCCGGTCGGAATTTTGGCATCATTTCTTACTCCACTATTTGCAAGCGATACAAAGCGCGATTTTTAGCCTAGACTAGTAGGGAACAACACTTTGTTACGAGTACAAAAAAATTGACTTTTCTCACTTTTGAAAACAAGTTAATCATGTTTGAAAATCACGCTTTTTAGTCGTTGAGAAACACTAGATAATGCAGTGAATAATGGTTTGTAGGGCTCATAGAGGTAATTTGACGTGCTCGGAAATGATACCCATTTCACGCAAGCTTCCTTGATGATTTATAATATGTCAAGGTAGAAGATGAAGATTTGAGTTTTGGCCGAAACTTCGATTGTGGAATCAACAGTATGCTGTTTAAGACCGTTCTTTCCTTCAGTACTGGTGAGGTCGCGATATCCACTAAACTAGCGCTTTTCTTCTTCACCTTAATCGTAGTATCTCCTTAATCGAACGAATTCGATTCCTAATCACGACCCCCCCCTGTCTTACCCCAGTACGACCCCCCAGGTCGGGCGCGCCTGACCCCACGCTCAACCCTGATTACAACTTGTAATTCATCATGACCGTTCAGCAGTGTTAAACAGCAACTTTCTTTCCATACTGGTGTGAATCCAGGTAAAATGTTCAAATATTGGCCTAAACTACCCAGCAGCCGCCTGACCACTTGGATGTCATTTATTGCTCAACTTTGTCCCATGCAAATCTGATATGTTTGCCTTAACACAGGATGACATTGCTGTTGCTAGAACGTTCAATTTTAGGATTTTTGAGTTGAATATTGGGTGGTTATTGGTTGACCGGATTAACTCATGTTGGTTGGTAAGTGTGAATCGTGAAATCTGGTTAAACTTGTTGTCAATATTTTTGAGACATGGGCGGTGACATCAAATACCAATATCCTTCTTTGGAAAATTGGCTCTCGACAACGGAAAGTGCCGATTTTTTCATTTGTTCTACAAAAGATGGTAAAATTTGTGGCATTTTTAAGCAACTGTCTACAATCACACTTCAGCTGCTCACGTTTTTGAGTTTGCGTCTTCGTCAGTCTTCAATAGTCAAATGGAGAAGATATCCTATCGGACACCAAGTGAGCAAAAGTACTACATAAATCACAGCAATTTGAAGCCAATTACAGCATTGGTGCTGACGGTCAACATAGGGGGCGGGGGGCGACTGATATTAAACTGAAAAACGTTACGGAAATTAGCAGTTGCGGCAATAAATCAGCACCTTCTTCCTCCTGTTAGAGTAGTATCTAAAAGTCATGCTATTAGGGGGTAGGAGACTCTTTGAGGGATGTTGGCCTCGGACTGATAGGATAACTGTGTGAGAAGAGCAATATTGGTGGTTCAGGTTTATTAATGCGAGTACGAGATTGGGCGAGCTCGTTAGGAGAGTGAGGTCAATACCTCCGAGATACAAATGGGTGGTAAAGCCCATTCACTCAGCGGGTGGTCCCTCGATACGGTAAATGGAGAAATCATTGTACGATGATACATGCATAAGCTGAACCTGCTGTGCTATAAGTAACTCCTTGCTCGAGATATGTGTAACATAATTTTGCCACGCATATTATCGTCGGCATTCTATCGAAGCGCCAGCGTCGTCTGTTCGATAAAGTTTAAGCACTTTCGTGTCCTACATAAAAAACATGCGATATTGTGTATCAAAGATTTGAAGATCGTAAGGCATTGATAAGCTGATAAATTTTGCGCAACGGTAAAATTAGAAAATATAATTTATCGTAAAATTTCGTAAAGAAAGTTCCTGGGCATTTGCGAAAATTTTCGTCAAATCTCTGTAACTTCAAGCTGCTTAATTCTTCTTTGACGCTACAAAATTCATTGCAAAGATAATTTTGTCTACAACGTATATTTGTCTTGCTGGCTCTTCAGCACCTCCCTGCGCTCCACCAGCATGCGCAGAAGGGAAGGAGGTCGACGCGAAGAGCGGCCTATTTGTGCAGGATTATCTCAAGCATGGTAAGAGCTAGAGAGCTCAGATGCTGTAGTTACATAGAAGTCGCTGGGGCTGTTATGGAGACTGTTTAAGTCTTTGAACGACCACACGAAAAAATTTTTCCAGAGAATTCGGAAAATCGACCATTTTTGCCCCCAAAAATGCACCAATTTTTGAGTCAATGATTCTAATGTTTTCTCTTCTGTACGGGACAGACCAACCTTTGCTTACTGTAAACATTGTTGGGGTAATGCCTTACACATCTTTTGGACCCATCATCCAGACCTGGCGATCCTCGCAGAAGCGACACCAACTGCGAAAAGAGTTACAATAGGAGGCAAGTTCGAGAGCTTGTAATTTCTAAGCCCAAATCGCAAAACTCGAGTGCAGCTGTGGGTTAAAATTTAACAGCCTACGTCCAGATCACCAGTGATCTGGAATCTGGACGAGATTCTTTGAACTGCACAAAAAAATGGCCGCGGAAAGAAAAATTGTAAATTTTTATGGTTGATCTGTACATCAAAAAAGGAAAGATTTTCCTTTGTGGCGTGCAGATCAGAAAGATTTTGGCATCGATAAAAATCAGAAGTGGTTTTGAAAAATGTAGGCTATTCTCTACTGCATAATATAGATAATTGGCGTCAAAGTTCGGTCGAGCGCCAAAAAATGTGTTAGAAAATGAAATTCCCAAAAGTGCCCGGGAACTTTCCTTACAACCTTATACACTCTTTATGCATTCATTCCTGGATTTTTTCTGAAAATTCGAAATCCTAGAGTTTTCTTGCCAGGGTCTCAGGCTTAGGGTGTGGCACATGCGATCATAAGCGCGATTTCGTATCGAGCGTTTCTTGATGTTGGCGGGGCAAGTCTGACAAGCTATTCCAGACTATTTTGCTTTAAGCAGCGACGAAATTCAATGCTTTTTCATTGATTTTATATGTAACTAGCTGATCTGCCCGGTCCAGCCCGGGAATGATCACTGATCGGGAATGAAGATAAGGTATTCGGTGGCATTGTAGAAACTGTGTAAAGAACAAAAACAAAATGTGAACACTTATTAGTCGGTAGCATATCTCTCTTTCTCCAAATCAAGTTCAACACGCAAAACCTAAGCAAGCAGCGCGAGTTAATTGATAGCAGCGCTCATTGTTATTATGAGGGTCATTTTTTGTGACACTTTGCCGTTAACCGGCTACTTCATCTTCATTCACTGCTTGCCGTCAATTTTTGTGGATTCGGCAGTACTTTGCACTCGCGCACTTTCCTGGTCCCAGGGATCAACTATAGCGAATGTGAGTTGTCGCTTGTCTTGACATTATTTCTGGTATTGACAAATAATTTGTGCGCAATCTCATGAAAAATTTTGACCCCTCATTGTTTAAATTGAGCATGTAACGAAGAAAGCTATGATTATAAGCGTAAATTGAGCACCTTCCGTACGAAACACTCGCTACAAAGCACTCATGGTCTCTTGCACGCTAAGGTTTCCGCAGCATAAAATACATTTAGTGCATCCATTTAAATGAGCAATTGAGACTCACATCAAGAACACTTTTCACTGCACTTCGTCAACAGAAGTTCACAATGAGACATGTCAGCCTTGTTTACATACCCCTGTTTTGATAGCAAATGATAAGAATCATTTTCATTGCAAAGTGCTGCAAATCAATAAATCGATAGAAGGACCCAACTTATCGCTACAAAAAGTAGCCTATCATCTGCGCAAGGCTCGAAAACTGTGTGCAAAGTTTCAGATGAATCGGTTGAGCGGCGCGCGTTTCTATAACGCACATACCCTCCAAACTGACAATTTTTGAGTTTTATATATATATAGATATAGACCAGTGCTTCACCTCTGCTTCGCAGAGGTTCGCACTGGCTATCATGAACCGTGGTAAACTCACTGTCTCAGAGCTTGTCCCTCAAATCATTGTTCGGTTGACTGCAACATGGGAGCCGTAGTTAAAAATGAACCATACTCGCTATCTCAACCTCACATGCTGTTTATTATTGTAAACTCCACACAACTTCAGATTAAGCCGCTTATTTTAAGTCACTAGTTGGGTTTCCCGGTCCAGCCCGGGCCATGGTTCACCGCACTGCGAGCCCCCCCCCCCCCCGCCCTATATGGTATGGACGACTTACCCTGGGACATCCGCTTGCAAACCGCATCCTCGTGATCCTGAGGTGAAAATGAGCTTCACCGCCCTCCTTCACATGAGAATGAAAAATGCTTGATTGAACATGATAACCCTTCAATTCCTTAGGGTAATGTAAACAAATCAATAAATCGATAGAAGAACCCAACGAATCGCCGCAAAAAGTAGCCTATCATCTGCGCAAGGGTCGAAAACATATGTGTGCAAAGTTTCAGCTGAATCGGTTGAGTGGTGCGCGTTTCTATAACGCACATACCCTCCAAACTGACAATTTTTGAGTTTTATATATATATAGATAGATATTGTCTTTCTGGTCAGACTGATAATGACTGGAACCGCGCGTTGTCGTTGATTTTTTGCCTACGTAGCAGTTCAATTTCGAGATTTTGATTTTTGATTGATTTTTGATTCTTTTTGATTTTTTCAAAACTTAGGCCTGTAAAAATTTTTTCGGGGCGTAGGTGCCACCAAACCTCCTTTTTCTGATATTTTGGGGTCATGGGCCCACAAAGATTTCGGGAAGCATGCCAAAAAATTTTTCGGAATGCGTGGATTAAAGCCACGCATTTCACTAAGAAAAAATTTTTGTCGCATGTTTTCGATTCCGACGGTGGTTTAAAGCTACTTTTCGCGGCGGTTCACTGGGCCCTTCTATCAATTTTTGATTTGTTTGCTTAATCCAAGGAAATGAAAGCATACATTACCGAATCATTTCCCTAGATCAAGTAGGAAGGGGCGGTAAATATGATTTATGCTTTGCGGTGAGGAGGAGGATGCGGTGTCACGAAGCCAGACGACGGAGGGAAGGCATTTTCACTCCGGGGGCGCTGCTGCAGGATTGGAGCGGGAGCAGGGAAGAAGAGCAGGGACAGCGCGAGCTTGAAGTAAGACAGCCAAGGAAGAGAGTGTAGTCATTGAGCCAGATATCATTGAGTTGAAAAGCTATTACTGTGCCTTGCCGGCCGGTCCAATTTGAACTCCGGACTGGACGGGGGAGGCTGTGTGTGTGTGTGTGTGTGTGTGTGTGTGTGTGTGTGTGTGTGTGTGTGTGTGTGTGTGTGTGTGTGTGTGTGTGTGTGTGTGTGTGTGTGTGTGTGTGTGTGTGTGTGTGTGTGTGTGTGTGTGTGTGTGTGTGTGTGTGTGTGTGTGTGTGTGTGTGTGTGTGTGTGTGTGTGTGTGTGTGTGTGTGTGTGTGTGTGTGTGTGTGTGTGTGTGTGTGTGTGTGTGTGTGTGTGTGTGTGTGTGTGTGTGTGTGTGTGTGTGTGTGTGTGTGTGTGTGTGTGTGTGTGTGTGTGTGTGTGTGTGTGTGTGTGTGTGTGTGTGTGTGTGTGTGTGTGTGTGTGTGTGTGTGTGTGTGTGTGTGTGTGTGTGTGTGTGTGTGTGTGTGTGTGTGTGTGTGTGTGTGTGTGTGTGTGTGTGTGTGTGTGTGTGTGTGTGTGTGTGTGTGTGTGTGTGTGTGTGTGTGTGTGTGTGTGTGTGTGTGTGTGTGTGTGTGTGTGTGTGTGTGTGTGTGTGTGTGTGTGTGTGTGTGTGTGTGTGTGTGTGTGTGTGTGTGTGTGTGTGTGTGTGTGTGTGTGTGTGTGTGTGTGTGTGTGTGTGTGTGTGTGTGTGTGTGTGTGTGTGTGTGTGTGTGTGTGTGTGTGTGTGTGTGTGTGTGTGTGTGTGTGTGTGTGTGTGTGTGTGTGTGTGTGTGTGTGTGTGTGTGTGTGTGTGTGTGTGTGTGTGTGTGTGTGTGTGTGTGTGTGTGTGTGTGTGTGTGTGTGTGTGTGTGTGTGTGTGTGTGTGTGTGGTTTGACCACCGTGATTCCGAGAACGATTCAAGCGTCGACTATAAATCTGAATCTTCTGTTATGAGTGAGAGAAAAGGTTGCTGATTTTGACTTTCCAGGCTCTGTCGAAGGCGAAGCCGCCGAAGTGTCGGCTAATTAAAGTTTTTATCCAATAACTTTGTCTATTAGGAGAATAAGTT